GCGTTCGTTCTTTGTGCTGATGCTTGTATACTGAATGGGAATCTGTTCGACTTGTATGTCCGCGGTGCAGCCGCTGTGCAAACCGTCGAAAGGGAACAGGAGAATCACCGGACGCTTTTCTTTCCGGTCCCCAGCTAACGTAAATTTCCGTTGAACTCAACTGAACTGAAACATAAATTGGTAGAAAATGAGGGATTTTTTCAAGCGGTAACTTTAAACTTTGCCTCTCAATATGAACCAACCAAGAAATCATATCAATCCAATAGATAGAAATAATCAATTCAGGAACCGCCGTTTATTGTTTGTCTCTCTTGTAGAAATTCAAAACGATTTGTCACTGGAAAAACGAGCACGCTAGTGAAGATAAGTTAGATACAAATACTCTGTCCAAAAAAATGTTGCAAGCTGATTATTTCCTTGTCCGACTCTTGTGTGCTATCCAAATCTAACCCCACTGGGATGTAGTGGAATCGCTGTAGACCAGCATTTGGAGAAATGAGATGGCGAACGATAAATATGGTGTATAGCAATTTATATCTTCGGATGTATACCACAGAACAATGTCACACGAATATACAAAAAGTGATACATCTTTACCATCAAGGTATTGGTTGCAAATCAATCACCAAAACGACATACTCGTTCCGTTTTCACACTCCTGGTTGCCATTTTCTATAGCAGTAGGTTCAGCTAAAACTATAGCACCCTACCTTTCGTGGTCCTTCCGTGTACAGTAGCTCGTAATTCGTCTGAAAATGGGCACTGTGCAGATCCGGCAGCTGCTTTCGCATCGTGTACGGCACCAAGAACCGTAAGTTGATGCAGTTTGCTGAAGTGTCGATCAAATCGTCGGCAATTCGTTCGTGGGTGAGTTTCCCCCGGTATCTTTATGCCAAAGATTCTTTTTCTGTTTTGTTTATTTATATGACAGTGTTCTGTATTGCGCATCCGAAAGAAGCGGTAAAGTATACCCCTTGTATTGTAAAATGATTCATTCTTATGTGCTCTCATCAATTGTATAACGGAGAAGTCACGTTTCAAACCCCTAGTTGTGAATTTTTCTAAAACACTAGCAACACAGACATTACAGTCTTAGATAACACCGCTTTAATTTGCAAACTATGTTTGACTGCGCATTCATCGTATTTTGCGTTCAAACACAAAAAATGAGCACACATTCGGGATATGCAAAGTTCCAAAGAGGGAAAAGCCATTGTTTAGCTGTCAAGGAATTTCAACCAACGTAGCTGACCGGGCTACAGAAATAGTGTGGTTGATTGACAGTGTATTTTACTTGACTAATGAGGTTGCCGTCATGCAAAACATTTGACCAAATTATTTTATGAAAGTGATGAGATTCAGTTGAATATCTCATAAAATGAGTGTATTTTCGAAAACAGTCCAATTTGGGTTCAAGTAGAGCATAAGGTTGGCGGAAACTCGGGGATTGCGCCTACTTGATGAGCCCCAAAAAGAGCGAAACCGGTCGTGGGCTGTCGAAGATTTTTCAGCAACCTTGTGAGTAGTTACCTTTATTAAAGTGAGGATGATTTGAAACTCAGAGGCAAAAATTAGTGTACTATCATACACTGACCTCTCCAAACTGAACCTGTTTACTTTGTAAAAAAGGGAATAACCCAAGTTGTTACTGGGGGGTCAGAAGGCAAGAATACTAATACGGACACTTATACGCTCACGTGTTTGAAGGTGACTCATGCCACACATATCTAGTCGATTTTAATTGCGAATCAATAAAGCTGAGGTCAACTTGATAACGTGGGACTTCTTTATAGGTCACTTGCGTCGCGTTCTCGTGAGAAAATCCGATAATATCTGAAGGAGACGAACAAAGTTCTGAATTCTCGCATCACTATATCAGGGGGGTGCAGATAGAGTAAAAGAAAGCATA